AAATAAATCATCTTTGCAGTATTTTGAGAAAATTTTAAATGAAAAGCATACATTCTGAGGACATGTGACAATTAATTATTTTGCATTATAAGGGACCTTTAATGCATCAACTCAAATGTTGAATGCAGGGTCTTAACTTTTAAAGTTAAAGGCCTGATCCTCCACCACTCATGAATGCTGTAGAGCACAGTGAGGGAAGTTAAGTCAGCCCTTATCTTACAGCACTGCTCCCTCCCTCACACAGTCCATGTGTTATCCTCTGTAGTGTGTATATCTATTTTTCCTGCAGTCTTCCTCCTTTTCTTGGGTGTCCTGATTTTATCCACCGCCAATACAAATGTTTGTTCAGCTACTGGCAAACAAAATAGCTGTAATCATGTCTGACGCGCTATCATTCACTCTTCAGCTTTAGTGTGTCGTGCTTTTCCTTTTGTTCTTTATTCTTTTGATCTCTTGTGCCAGGACTCTGCTCTATGAGGCAAGACAAGAAAGCAAAAGTGAGGCTCCTAGTTTTGGTGTTAAAAAGTCCATAAATTAGTTTAGAGCTCCGGTGTGTGCTCTATCTAAAGCCTGTTGTTTATTTCCTGTGCAGTATAATGTCATCCATCAGTGTACATCAACACAGCCACATCCTGCAAAGGACAATTTCAATGTTAACATTTTTTCCACTGTTTGTCTTCCCACTTGTTCCCATAATGTCCAATTTAGAAAATACTGAAATTGCTTTTGGCTTGCATCAGAAATTAGACTGGTCCATAGCCCCTGTTTTTCCTCAAAGCTTTATTTGGTCACTGTGGGAAATTTAAGCAAAGCTTCCTCAATGTGATTTTGACATTAAGTTGGCTCATCTTTCAGGGTCCTGTCTGATGCTTTGTGGTTCGTGGTTTTGTTGTTTTCTTTTTGCCTCCAGGTAAACCATTAGGCGATCGTCCTGTGAGGTTGCCAGGTCAGGTTCTGCACGCTGCGCTGCAGGAGTGGGAGTTTACGGAGCTTCAAAGCAGACATGAGACGCCAGGACAGCCGCTCTACTGCCAGAGCGTCTTTGATGCCATCACTATGGGTGAGGTCCAAATGAAATATGTCCAGAAAAGAACATTCAGCCATATCTGTCATTTCTACAGTCATGGCTGTAGCTTCAGAAAACTGATGAACACAACGACATCCTGCACAACCAGTAGATACTCCTGTTCTCGTATACAGCTGTAGGACAAAGTCAGTATTAGATATTTGTTGCCCTGTGCTATAAAATTGTGTTCACAGTGAAACAAAATAGGACAAAGAGAACAAGTTGTATCGAGCCATGCCAACTTTTTCACCGATAAAGACAGTGAAGTGCAGTTTAAAGTTTCCAATGTTAGGAATTCACTTTAAAGCTCAGTTCCTTCTTGTTTAGGAATGTTTTTTTCAGTAAGTCTTTAGATTACAGCCCACAGAGTACAGTTTGATTGGAAAGAAAGGAACAATATGTGAAGTTCAGGAGTTAAGGGGGAACAATCAATGTATACTGTAGGTGTTTTCTAACTATTGGATGTTATGTTACGTATGTTCTGTTATTATGGGCTACATAGAACCTACTGAGCAACAATCTGGCATTTACTGATCCAGTTTTCCCAACCTACCAGACTAGTCCATATATGTCACTCACTCCCTTGTTCCTGTCAACACATGATGGGACTTCTGAAATGATCGGTATAGTGAGAATAAGTAATCTTCACTGTGGCCTCTTGACATGCACAGCAGTGGAAAGATCTCAGAAATGGCAAACACCAATGTAACATGTTTCCACATTTCTCTCTGTGATTACAAGTTAAGAAAATAGAGGCTGTTTCACGCTTGCTCCCTTAAAGCTACAAATATGTATTAGTACAAACTGTATTAGTACAGTACTTACATATTACATTTCAGGTTGTAATCTAAATAGTTTTTCCTTCTGTGTTTGTGTCATCAGACCAGAATGAGACCGTGCTGGTGTTCCGGGGCAGCGTGTACTGGACAGTGTCAGCTGAAGGCAGTGTGAGCGGTCCGCTGCCTCTCCGTCAGCGCTGGTCTGACCTTCCTCCGGCCATCGAGGCCGCTGCTTTCTCCCCATTGGACTCCAAGTGGTATTTTTTTAAAGGTACTGCTTCACCGAGCTCATTAATGGGACTCACACTTCCTTTTAAAGACATTCCCTAACCTGTTGGCTAACTTCACATATCTGTTAAAACCCCAGAATAGATTCTCTTGTGTTTCTTTTTACATAGGAAAGCTATTTAAAGACTCCGCTGCGCTGAAGCTTCAGCTGTAGTTTTTAATTAGCTTCACCTTTGTGCTGAAAGCTGGTACATTGTTTGAAGCTAATGCCACATTTCCTGCTAAAGGGCCAAAAATCATGCAGATTCTCTTATCTGCTAAATGTAAAACAGTTTTATGTAAAGTGCAGATGCCTGAAGGCGTCGTATTCTGTAAATCATCTCTTGCTCTTCATTAGTAGAAGGCTGCACTTCCTCAGGACACTAAACCTTAAAAACATTTATTCAGAGTCCCACTGATTTTGGTTTATGGTAAGTTTTTAAAATTAGTTTCAAAGGAGTAGAGTTTATTGCATTTTTACGTTTTGATTGAAAAAGGGTTATTGTGATCTTAAGCTATGAACGTTATGACGCTATCATAAATACTTCATAATGAATGTATTTATGGTTGAATATGATGAGATGGGGCATTATTTCTATGTGTAATGGATGTTTTATTGTTAAGAACCTGTGGCAACTGTAGCACCATCTCTCTTGTTTCATGTGGTGCAGGAAAGCGTATATGGCGCTACACGGGCAGTGTGCTGGACCCCGGCTTCCCCAGGAGGAGCAGTGACTTGGGGCTGCCTCGTCACCCCGACTGTGCCTTCTATTACGCCCCTCTGGGTCACATGGTACTCTTCAAGGGCTCCCGCTACTCTGTGCTCAACCTCAAAACGTTGCACCAAGAACCCTACTACCCCCGCAGGCTGACAGACTGGACTGGCGTGCCACAGGGGACCAACGGGGTGCTGACCCGTCCAGACGGACGCCTGTACCTGTTCAGAGAACAGCGGTTCTGGAGGTTTGACCCGGTGAAGGTGCGAGTCACCAGAGAGGGCGAGTGGGCCAAAGATCTGAGCTGGACTGGTTGCAGCAACGCTCCTCAGAGCAACAACATCCTTTGACCAGCAGAGGGAGCTGTAAGATTTAAAGTGCAATTTGTCGATGTATGCGGTATTACAGGTGCTGAAACTTTTAAACCCACATTGAGTTTATATGTTGCAGTGGTTCAAACTAATGCTACAAGAACTTCACAGAAAGAAGGCTACTTTGTTTAGACTTTTTTTTTTGTGGCACAAACAGTATTTATACTGTTGGGCGATTCATAATACTGTACATGGATGTGTATTACAGCCTTAGTTTTTGGTCAGATCATTATCTAAATATTAATACTGTTCATATATTTAAGTATTACACAGCAACAGCAGCTGGAAATATGCTTTAAAAAACTTTTTTTTTCTTTGCACACAACCAGAAAAAAACAATATACATTCATAGTGTGTGAGTGACATTGTGGAGGAGATGATAAATCTCTTCTACAATGTCACTAACAGACTGTATAAAATTACACCACTGACTTTGGCCTGCGGTTGTGTGTTGCGTCCTGGTTTTCAGCTGTAGTAGAAGGCCTGAATCTTTATCCCTGAATTCACATATTTAAATCAGATCCATGAGTAAAGATAATTGTTTGTACCAATAGTTAATGTGTGGGAGAGCAGTGCAGATTGGTGCGTCCTGTATCCAACGGGCAGAATGGTGGATGTGACCACAGAAAGCTGTGTCAACAGGGTGATGCATGTTAAAAAACAGTTGCACAGGGAAAAAAATTGTTCAAACATAACCGTGAATGTTTCCACATGCAATCAAAGATGATACTCTGTCTGGTCTGAATTTGAAAACTTAAAAGTACTGCAATGAATGTGTGAATATGTGTTTGGGAAACTTTCAGCATTCACATTTCACATCTGACCAGTATGTGCTCATTTGCCGTGTAATTTCTTTCCCAATTTCTTTCCCCAGTGCTAGTTATTCTGCTCGTATGTAGGTTATTGAATGATTTCTGTCAGTTGCATTACATTAGTTTTGAACCCAACAATTTTTAGTCATGTGGAAACAGCTATTAGGACACACAGTATTTAAAATCTGATACAGCTGTTTTATTCATTTATCTTTCAGTACTAACCCTGCATCACTGAACATTTCAGACACTAAGAAGCCTCACATTTCATGCTTCCTCACCGAGCATACTTGCTTTTTCCCCCCAGTAACACCCATTTACAATAAACAGTTAAACATTTTGACTTCTTCAAGCTGCCCTGCTGACCCACACTGAACACTGAGCAGCTCTAAACCTTAAATTAAACTCATTTTAACAAGCACTGACTTCATAATGCACAAGTGAATACCAGGTTCAGGTTAATTTGCGATCCAATTTAGCATGTCCTTGATCACAAGTGACAGTAAAAAAAACAAGAAAAAAAAGAACCCGGTCTGATGTGAGTCATACATATATAAAACAATACAATATCTTTTGTCTCAAACTGTGTGTGAGACCACCATCTGTTTGAGTGATCTGTCCAATCCATAATGTGCTTGCTAAGTTTTCACTTAAGTTAATCTGCCTGCTGATCCCTCAGCTTACTGTGGCCTTACAGCAATTAACATTTCAGAGGTCTCAGGTCATTATGCATTTAGGGTGTATGGTTAAAAAACAATATTATCTGGCTATCTAAGGAAAAAATTAATTCTAAGAGAAAATTCAGTCCCCTTCAGTCCAGTAATTTGGCCAGGTTTAGTCCACAACTTACACATTTTACAACACAAATACTTGAGCAACAATGACTTGAAGTGCATAATTAAAATCCACAAGGTTCAACTTTTAGTGAGTAAAGCCGGGCTTCAGACCTGTAACACAGACTACTAGTGCTGCACTGTGGAGAGCAATCAGACCAAATCAAGAGCAACATCAAAGGACGGCTTCAAACTGTGAGATCATCTTCATCTGTTTTCACAAGCAATTGAAAAATAAGACGTCAGCTCACCTAGCTGAGTGATGCAACAAAAAACCAAGTCTGCCATCAGTACCACTTGAATACAAAACTTTGCTTGCTATTTACTGGCCTACTGTTGTTTTTTAGTACAAGAGCTGCACAGCTGATTAGCTGGATCTAAATATAAAAGTAATTTAAACATTCAACAACATTATCTGCGCTGCTTTAAAAATCACTCATCGTGTATCACTCACTTGGCAGATCTCTGGACAATTAAACTATTGTACATTGTATTGTATTGTACATTGTGGAAATTTATGTGAAAAGTCAAACCAGTTGAAGAATTCTGACACCTCTGGTTGGAAAATGTGTCACCAGCTGCAGTACTTTGGTTTCCGTTATATTCCAGAGTGTCCCTCATTTGTCAGACTACACAGCTCTCTCCTGCATAAATTCAGATCCTTTTTAAAAGGTTTCTCATCTTGTCCAACCTCTGTTGGAGTTTGAGATAATATTTTTAACTGTGCAGTGACTATTACCACAGCTTGAGTCATAGTGGCGGAAATTTAGATGAAGAACTCATCGACTGGCTCCCTAATGTTTGTGCGTGCTGACAGTGGCTCAGCTCTAGTCCTGTTCTCGACCAAGGGTCCTGAGGACATGGTCCTGATGCCACAGCCCTCCCTGGCTGCATCTGTACAACCACCAGAGCCCCACGTCCCAGAGGGGCCCTGCAGGCGTATGTGTGTCGGTGGCAGACATTCTCTCAACTCCTTGGCCAGTCCCTCGACAGCTGAAGCCCCAACTGCTGGAGGTCTCTCAGAGTGGAAACTTGTCAAAAGGTCCATGGAGGATGAGCGAGGAATTGTTTTGACTGCGGTGTCTGAGCGAGGAGAGACGGCGACTCCTGTGTCCACATTCGTCTCCGGCTCCTCCTCGTCCTCTTCCAAAAGGAGATGGGAGAGAGAACGGGTGACGGATGGGCGCAGAGGAGAGTCGGGGTGATTGGAAGTTGAAAGGAGAGCAGGGCTGCTGCGCTGAGATGAGTAACAGGAGCTGCCAGGAGGGGTGCTGCAGCAGCTTCCTGATCCCAGGCTCTCTGCTCCACCGCCTCCTCCATGAAGCTTCTCCAGGACAGGGTCACTGCGTGGTCTGTGGCCTGGCAACAACCGAACACTAATCAGGCAGTGTCAAAAAGGTGTGCAGTTAATGTAATATACCCAAATGTAATTGAACTAGAGGTCTTCATGGGTTCACATACAATAAAGTCATTCAGGGCCAGTCGGGTCCCATTCTGTTGCCACGGGCTGGGTCTGTCTAACATTGTGCACAATACTTGGAGGATCCAAAAGAAGATCAGACTGTGACTAGACAAAGCTGATGCTAAACAAGTTTGTCATCTGTCAATGTAACAGCAAGTGGATTCTTAAACTTAAATACCAAGTGGATTTGTCATGATGTTTATATCAGCATGGACAGGAATAACAGAAAACCTGGCTGTGTTTTACCACCTTTCTTGGAAAAGAGGATGATTATGTGTGTCATAGCCAGGAAGAGGGAAAAGTGCACTAACGTTACATTCGGTAAAACACAAAGTTTTGTTTTGACAGCTAGTAAATTAACATGTTTATATCAATCGGGATCCCAGTTTTCTCAGTTCTCCATTGGTCCCAGCTTTGAAATAATAGACAGGTCTGCATTGGCTCCTGCTGGTGCATTTCTGGGTTTGGGGTCTAATTTTTTAACCTGTGAAGACCCCTGACTAGAACAAGAGACATCTCATCCTTGAGGTCTAACGTTATTAAAATGGTATTTGTTTTGTATATTTTAATAGAAAATCTATGTAAATAAAACCTCAACTTAGACTCCCTTGAACATAAATGTGTATAAAAATTCAAGAGTATGTCATTCTAGCACTTCCAAGGTGACTTTACAGAGAGGTGATGAGATTTTTGATGCATAAAAATGAGGTCAGAAAATGTCAGTTAACCCTTGCTATGGAAGATGGAACTTTAATAAACTGCACAGAAAAATAGCAACATGGTCAGTTAAATTGCTTGGAAACTTTCCTATTGTCACTCATTTCAAATATTCACACTTCGTCAGCAACTTTCCATGTCTCTGAATTATTCCGGCTTGTTACGATTCCAGTCTTGTGTTCAATAGCTTCCTACATAAAGAGAATCATTTAATAAACTGGCAATCTGTAATCAGTGGGGAAATTACGAAAAAAAAAAAACCTGTCATAAGTTGAGTCAAATCATTATAAACGCTGGCCTTTGGGAGAAAGTTCAGGAAGCAGTAATTTAGAGCCATGTCTCTGTGCTCCAGGGGATAAATCTGTGACTAAAAAAATACCAACTAAAAAATGCAGCAGAATAACACGCTGAAGCTATAAGTGAGCACAGCATCCAAAATACATGACCGTTTTTTCCGTCTGTACTTACCTTGCCTGTGTGTTTGCCAGGACAGGGGAGTTGTGAGGCTGCAGGGCGACAGGCTGTGGCTCTGCCCCGAGCTCCGGAGCTGAATTCCTCGAGGGGACACGCTCGGGCAGGTCAGGGGGAAAGCACAGGTCAGAGGTTGCTGAGGTTGAGCCGGGGTTTTCACCTGCAGCACAGAATGACAGGCGGAGCAGGATTATGATTTACACCAGGACAACAGAGATTTGGTTAAGTCACTTTGACGGAATTAACCTGCACACATCTAACATATGGCTATTCTGACAGCTTATAGTAAGTAAATGTGTTTCTATTGTGGTCAGAATACATGATCTTAACTAAAGTTGAAAGCCAGGTTTTTCCAGGACATATGGGGGACACACAAGATTATTGTGTTGTGTGAAGAGGTTAAGGAATTCTGATCTGGCCTTTTGGCTAAAACAGATTTTTTAATGATTATGTGAAATGGTTAAAAAATGTAATTTGAGATTTCACACTGGTACAATCAATGAGATCTGAGACGCAACGTAAGAAAAAGAAATGTATGTTTACCCCTTTGCAAGAGTTAATCTAATCTAAAATCCTTAAAAAATAACCATCGGTCCATATTAATTACAGCTACAATTGTTCTTGTAACATGTTCATTCAAAAAATATTTGGACGGTAAAAGTCTATTTCTTTTAACCCCCTCTGAACCAACGTCATATCTTTCCATGAAGGAGGTAAAATAAATTTATTTTGATTACATTTACACTCAAGAGATCCAACTCTCTTTAGTTACAACTACATTCATTAAATTGTTCATAGATTTAACCATCACCTGTAAATCATCTGACAATCCTATAAAGGCAGCACAATAACTGATGTGTCACTTAGTTCTCCATTTGAGTCCATAAATGGAAGGAGAGCGTCTCACTGATTTATTCCAGGTGAAATCCTCATCACTTTGTCAACACATAAATCATCAAACTGAGAGGCAACACATTAACACTCTCACCTCACAAATAACTGGTGTTTTCTCTCCAGGGCAATGTAGTCATTGTACTGGGGAACCTGACCGGCTGATTACATGATGCAACAAAACTTCATGTTCTACAAATCACATTTTAGGGGTACAATGAACAAAGTTCCTGCTCTTTGGCTCTGTATGCTTAGAGCTAATTATATCTTCCACCCTGAGTTTACAGGCTGTTTCAGTCTGGCGCAACCACTGAAATATGGCAGACTTCATGGTTTAGCCATGTACAAATCAAGGAGAAGCTTTTCTAAGCTGACCGGAAAACTTATATATATATATATATATATTTTTTTTTTTTTATTTGAATACTTTTTAATAACACAACACAAGCACTTAAGTGGACTTAATACAAAATACAATTTTGACAAAAAGTAATAATAAAGATGGCTTAAAAAAACACTGACGCATATGAGAAGTTAAATTCTACACCAAAATGCATATTAAGCTGCAATTACCTGGAAGAGAACCTTGTTGCCATCCAGGTCTTCTGTCTGCCAGCGTGTAGTGCTGATGGGGGTACAGGGGTTAGGAAGCAGGGGGACCAGCTGGCCAATTTCTTCCACGCTAAACTGCAGCACGGCAGAGTTGCAGGGCTCCACCCGAACTCCTGGTGACAACTGCTTTAAAGCCAGCTGAAGGCACAGTCCTGGCTCTGGGCAGAAAGAGAAATGAGAAAGGCAGGTACAAATATAACACAGCAAAACAAAACAAGCAGATGTGTTGAAGAACCCATTTTAAAATAGGGCACAATTTTCAGACATTTACTTATAAAAAATAACAACAAAAAAAACAAGCAATGGTGTGACATTTACTTCCAGTCTTTTTAGCTTTCTTGTTGAGAGGTGTTTTCTGTAGAGCATGTGTATGCACATTATCAACCAATTATTTTGAATCACTTCACTGACTCGTAAAGCTGAACAAATTGAGAGGAAAAGCTGCTTATGTTTTTCATATGGAGCAATGTGAACACTACAAAACTCAACAGCAAACACATAAAGCCTCACCTGTGTGGAGAGTGAACCAGCAGAAGCCCGTCTTCTGCTCCTCTGCCTGCCGTTGCAGCACTGTCTCATAGAGCCTCACAGCATCCTCATAGTTGTCATATCCACTGTACAGTGTCACCCGTAGGACCTCTCCTCCACAGTGCACTGGTCGTACCCCCCACACAGGCATCCCTGCACCCAGGCTATAGAAGTCTCGACTGGGTAGGAGGTAGGGTCGTAGCAGGGCATTGGATGGTGAGCTGCTGGAAGAAATGTGGATCCCTCCAGTTCGGTTGCCGGAGCTCTCGGTGTGATGGTACTGCCAGGGCGGCCGCTGAAAGAAGTCTAGCACTTTGAGGATTCGTTCTTCTCCATAGGCCTCATGAAGAAAGAAAGTGATGGCCACAGAAGGGTAGCCTGAAAAATTTTTTTGGCAAAGGTTTACTCTCAATAAACCCTAAATGAAAACAGACACAATTCTGGCTAGAAGTTACTGTGGGATAACACGTTTACACCAGTTATAATACAATACTTGATGAGGGGGGTTGTTGATCTGAATGGCAAGTTTAAATCATTAAAACTTATATAAACATGCCTTGTTTCCACATATGGAATCTATTATTATACAAGGAAAAACACATCTCTAGAGTTTGTAATGAGGTTAAAGGTACTGGCACCACAAGGTTTACATTCTTGCCAAAGAAATACCTCACATCTAAGTGTACGTACAACACAATGTTTACCGTAATGCGAAAGCACACACAAGGAACCCAGGATTCTTACCTGCCACAGGACAGAGGCGGGTGTAACTTCTGAATGGAGAGGCTCTCTCAGACACATGAAAGATGCGGAGGCTTGGGCATAGCCAGCGCAGCAGGCGATCTAAGGTGTGCTGCAACAGCAGTGAGTCTCCAGGGTTGGCAAGCAGATGCAAGTTCATCAGCAGGAGCTGCTGCTGCTGCCGCTGCCTGACCCGCCTGGTCATGAGCTCAACTAGAATTACACACAAACACAATGCATGAAGTATACAAGGATATTTTAGACAGGCGCAACCACAAAAATACTCAGAGCTAACAGTTTTGGCAGAGGCCATAACAAACTGACAACTGAACAAATGTCAAGGTTTACCATCAAGTTTGCCATCAAGTTGAGTCATACTGCCCTTCATGAAGAATATGACTCAACTTCAAATACAGTTGAGTATTGTGGCTTTTGAGGTTCTTTGAAAAGTGTAGTCACAATACAAAAGACTAATGGTAAGAATACATTTTGTGTTTTAGTGTGACTCCACTTTTTTTGTTTTTTACAGCTATAGCTGACATTTTGACATATCACAGCAAGAAAAGCACAGAAAGAGCTAATGAAACTAAGTCATCATTACTACACCTGTGCTTTTCCTGCTGGGACATTTCAAAATGTCTGCTGAGAAATAAAGTTTATTCAGAAGACAGTCTAAATACACTGAACAATATTATAAATGCAGCAGGTAAATTGTCTTCTTTTAGAACCGAAAATCCAACTTCTATCAGTATGGTTAGAAAACGGTTGAATTTAGTCAACTGTGCACGAAATGTTTTTGAGCTGTTCCACTGGTGACAAATTCTCGACCGCTGAGTTAACTACACCCCATTCAGGTGTGACTTTAGGAAAATGTTCCGACAGCGTAACCAGTACACTCCTTTGACCAATGGGCACCTTAAAATGCAGCTATATTCAAATGGCACAATTTCACAGGTGACAAGAGAGAGGCTCAACAACAGGCTGTGGGCATGCTGGATGCTGGCATTGCAGTTAGGACCATAGTCAGGCACATGAATGATCATAACTCAACCATTTGTTGTATAATAAATAATTTCAGACAGCATGGCATGACACACAGTCTGCCACATGATACTCTTGATGAACATATTCGTTGATGGGATTCCCCAAAAACATCCATCAGCTTCACCAAAGCGTAGGACAACATTCTACAAGCCAGAACTGACAACCTCATTAACTCCATGTGTTGCAGATGTGTGACTCACTGTGATTTCTGTTGTATGATCCCACTCTTGATGATTATCATTTCAACATTGTGCGTATGTGGTTGTCTCATGACGTCCGTTCTGTTTTAACCCTCCTATTATCTTTTGGGTCAGTTGACCCTATTCAATGTCTAACATCTCTACATAAGTCATTGGCATAATCTTTCAGTTTTATTTAAAGGGCTATTTACACACAAACTTGGGTAAAAATTTTAATTAGGATATTTTCTGGAGGTTCAAATTGCTGGGGTCAAATTGAACCCAAGGATAAAAGATGTCAGTAAAATTTGAAGGTAATAGGAGGGTTAAGATGCCATGTGTTGAAAGAGCAAATAGTTATTATCTTATGTTTAAAAAATGTATGCAATTTCATACAATGTTACATATTTCGTTCAGTGTATTTAGACGATCTTTGACTTCTATATATCATGGAGGGTGTTTGGGGGTCAGACAGCAGAACTGATCCAATCTGGCACCAAACTTTTTACTTTTTTTTTAATATTAGGGACAGAAAGTCAAACACCTTGTCTTCTGATGTAAAATTTTGACCGTTCATATTTTCAATCCGAGACTATTTTTGATTAAAGTACAAATAATAAGTTAGTGGAGTGCCTCTTTAACTCCTTACTCACTGCCGGACGATGACATCCTGCTGCAGTCCGATCTGAAAAACACACACAGCAAAAAGCACATGAGTGATTGCTTCACTAACAATTAGCTGGTGGACAGACAACAATCTGTCTCCATCTTGTGGCGGCTGGTTTGGAAAGCTGCCCCCTTTGCTTTGGTCACCATGACAACACATTATCTGTTGTTAGCTAGCATGAGCCTTAAAACAGAAAATTTATGAGAACAAAGCAAAAAGTGTACAGAAGTTAGAAAAAACACACTCAGTGAAGTGCTATGAGGTTTAAACAACAGTAAAAATGCCGGGTTTAAAAAACAAGCAACTTATATTATCTTGAAGAAAATTAATTTCTATTGTGACTGCGGGCTAAAAAAAAAAAAAAAAAAAAAGTTGGCTAGCTAGCATTAGCCCGGAGCTAACACTGGGGCAACTCACTCGGCAGTTTCAGCTCCGGAGTCCACGTTTTCATCGTCGGCTCTCTTTAGCACCGCCGCTCTCCGCAACATAGTCCGGTACACTGTCTCACATTCGGTCGGGTGTACCGGGCACAAAGTTTGAACGGTGTTTGCAGGGGTCGGTACTCGCAGTGAGAAGCATCCTGTTTGATTTGCGTCCGCAGCGAAAAAAAAAAAAAAAAAAAAAGCTGCTGGGACGCTGACGTCACCAGGCAACCACACAACCGTTATGCGAACATTAAAAAAAAAAAAAGTGATTTCAGGAGGAATTAGCGTCAAACTGCAGCTGGACTTGTCCTCTGTCGACTTCAGAAGGAACTTCACGTTGGAGTATGTTTAGGCTGAGCTGCTGAGACTAAATCCTGGGCGAAAGGGAGCAGCAGAGGTGGTGCTACTTTAAATCTAAAGCCGCCTATAATAACAGAGAGCAGATGGCATGAGTCTAACAATATGAGGAGACAAAGGAGACGGTCCAGACGGGCTGGACAGACTTAAAAGTGCAGGAGGGGGGCTCTAAATCCTAGAAATTAAATACGTTGTTTTGCTAAAACCCAGTTAAGAGCTTTAAACTCATGAAGAGCTCCCTTTGAAGGACACCGAGTTTTGACAAGGTGAAGTGGAAAAAGTCCACACAGCTCTCCAACATGAGCTACATCCACGCTGTCTGTGAAAATACACAGAAATCTAAAAGAAAAGGAAAAAAACAACAAATTATTAACTGAAATAAAGAAACTGAGTAAGATGATGAAAAAAGATAAACAGAGAAAACAATAAATGCGCTTGTGTGTATGCATGTGCCAGATAGTATGTATTAGCTAGGTCATTTTTCAAAAACAATTTAAAATATCTTGAAGTCCAATTCATTTAATGTCACTTTATCTGAAAGTCTTTGTAAATCAAGGTGAAATTGGCAGGCTGTTGCTGTTGATCTGAAAGAGCACATTGCCCATTAACTTTCTGAAATGACTGAAAAAATCTCAACTATTATCAAAGAAGCAGGACAAGATATTTCTCAACAATATACTGTTGTAAAATAAATACTTCACAATCTCATGGTTGTTACATACTTCACCTGTATTTATATAACTTGTGTGTTTTACATCTAATGCTTTAGGGGGCTGTAACAATGAGTGTTATTATTGTCAGATGTTCTTGCAACTGTTTTGTAAAGGATTTTATTGAACTTTTATTTTGAAGGCTTTAGTTTGTGAAGTTGAGGCTATTTCTTAAATTTGAATCACACAAAGTAACTGAACAGCAGCACAAGCTTTGTCCTCCAAAAAAAAAAGAAAAAAGGGGCATACTGTTAAATCTACATCTTTCGAAAACAGCATATGACTAAACATTATAATTTTTGAGATATTTCCAGTGAAAATGAAGATGGATGGAACATAGTTACACTTGAATCTCAACACTCTGTCGTAAACACTGTTCTTCGGCTGCATGGCAAATTGTTGTTGTGAACACTGACAAACTGACTGTGGCTAACCATTTAAATTAAGCCTTAATTATGGTTAGCGAGTCAACGATTTCTGCCGCTTGCCAAGGCCTTCTCATGAAAGATGGAAAGAAAAAAAAAAAAAAAGAAAAACCCATCCTTTCATTTTTTTATTCTACATTTAATATGATGAAAACAAGGCCCTGTACAATCCACCTTCGCAGTGAGTACAATAATTATTTTACAATTTGTACACATAAGAACATGGTGCTAGACTGGTTCCACCTGTTCAAAATGCAGTCGAGAATGAAGAAAAAAAAAAAATCCTCTTCGAAACCTGCACCACAAGGAACCTTCCATTCAAAGAGAGGAGATCATTTTTTGGCTGATCACACAGCAGGCCTTAAGTGAAAAATGTGTCATGAGAGACCAAACACCATTTATGGAGTTGTATGTGTCTTTTTCCCCTGATTGATCCATTAGATAAAAGCATGCTGTGAAGCAACAGCCCTTGATCTCTCTAACCACTAGTACAGACCTGGCTAAATTATTGAAAAGAGCATTAAATATTTCAGCTATGAGAGGTGCACTTAATTCATACCAGACATTAAAACAACCCCAAAAAACAGACATATTTGCAACATAAATTAAGCACTCTTCATGTTTTCTCAAGTACTCAAAATGTACTGCTGTTGTAAACCAGGTCTGTACCAGTTAACACTTCGTCCGCTTCTTTAAATCTAAAAATCCTCTGTGAGGAAAAGGCCAAGACTGTCTGTCAACCTGTACAGCCATTATTGTGCCACAAAACACAAACATAACACATTGACATCAACATTTAAAACAGGGGAGTGAGTTCAAATGTTTTCTTGGTCTCCATGTGGCCACATGTTTGCGTTCACATGTTTACGCTCGTTCTTGACAGCATGTAGTTAATTGGCAAACAGGCTCACCCAGTTCTCTCCAAAGGCCACAAGAAACATGATTTTATACAAAACTAGATCCCCTCCTTGCGCTTCTCTCAGCAGAAGAAATCTAATATTGCTAGAAAACTTCGCCATCTTTTGCATGATTTTTTTTTTTTTTTTTTTTACACATTTTTATGGAAGAAAAGTTAAGCTTCCCAGTGTTTCCCAGTATCAATGATGAAAGCACTTCCAAGTTCATTCAAACACAGAGCAGTCCACAAAAAAACAAGGCCCTCAGTTTCTGTCAACTTGATGCTAGCTTTCACTGAATTCACTTGTTTTATGCTACATAAGTGTACACTTTGCGGTCCTCCGGTGTTCTTGCCAAATATTCCCTCTCAATGAGTCCTTCAATGCGCTTCTTGATGACTACGGGACTAGGAAGGAATCGTGCTCGCAACTGCTGTGTGACCTGTGGAGACACAAAACACTGTAATGAATACACAACACTTCATCTGTTTCCATCCTGACATTATCATTAAAATTTATTACTATGGCGTCTCATTTCACTGTCTATCAACTAGCCACAGAGCACTGGCCAACACTATGGACGGGTTGTGGTCAAACACAGAACAGAATAGAAACTATTGTCACTGCACAGTGTACAGCAAAGTCAAGCAGAAATCCTGCTGCTACATTCACACAATCAGACAACAGTTACAAAAAAAGAATAAGAAATGCGCAAACAGTAAAATATTATGTATAACTGTAACCTTATAAAAACTGAGACAGTTTATTGTTTTAAAGGAACCTTTTTTGATGTATTAAGATCACTATAGTGTAACTGATGTTGCACACTGCTGACCATTTACTGAAATGACTTATAGTCATGCAAAAAGTACATAAAAGGTGTAGTTGTATGTAAACATATGTGCAGGTTCAGTATATAAATAGATGATGAATATAAATAGATTACAGGTAAATATCACAGTGAGTGTAGTGCTAATGATCACTCATGTCCAGAGAGTTGATGTCAGCGCTATTTAAATTGAGAAAGCGCGTAATGAAAGACCGTCACTCTTGTATGTCCAATAATTTGCTGCACTGGGTGTCTTTGAGGGGAGGAAAATATGCACGTGTCCACTGTGAAAAATGTGAAGCTGAATATAATATACTGTGGTATATTACAACTTTCATTTTTGTAATCTAGACTACGTAATAAACTGCAGCTGCCTTTTAATATCACAGCAACCATTTCAGCTGACTGACCTCTGCTACTAGGACATTGTGCTGCATCTTCTTTCTGGACTTCATGATACGAACGATGGCAGCTTCAATCTCATGCTTCCTGTCGTCGTCCACCTTCTGCCGTGTCTCCTTCCTCTCTGGATCCGACTCCCCCTGTTTAGCAGCCACTAGGAGGTGCACGACAAAGGAAAATGAATTAACAGACAAGTAGTGTGACTACAGGAATATATGTTCTTTTCCAAAGTAAGCGCTTTGAATAATGTAATTGTGATGAAGTGAAAGGTGCTATTTCCTGTTATTGTGCTGCTGGGCTTAGGCACAGTTAACTGTTGCTGAGTTTCCCAGATGTGAATTAAGCCAAATCCAACAATAAAAACTTTTTAAAATGGAAATCTTCATCAATTTTTTCCTTTAGTCTTGGACTAGGCAAGAGTACAACAAGACATGACATTAAAAAAGTGTAATATTGACTAACTGGTGTTTAATGCTGCATTACACAGGAATGTTACACATTTTTGAACTGGTTCACATCAGTGTAATAAAAAGTAGATTCTTCTCCTGAATTTCTAGCTGAAAATGTGTTAACGGAGTGAAAATGTGTGGTTATTCAAAGTTGGATTTTATACCCAAAGTGAGACAAAAACTCACTGTATTTTGTTATTTATTGCAGCTTGCTTATTAACACTGATTGAGGGGGAATATCAGACCACCATCTATGCAATAAACTGCTCTGTTCATATTTCCTGATGGTTTTTGTGTCTTAATATCCTCATATAGCAGCAGATCACATGGAGCATTTCAAAAAACACAGTGTATGAAATTCAAAATAAAAAATAGTTTGACTCTCAAGAAAACATCATATAGACTTCATGATTTTTGTTTTTGTTTGTACCTGTCTGGATTTTGACACGATGCAGTTTGGAGGTAAACTGGTCATTGACTGTAAACACATGACCATTTTCAATCTCCTTGGACTTAGGCTCCTTGGTGAGAACTCTCTGTGTGGGCTTCCCACAGGCCAGAGACTGCAACGCTCGCACCAGCTCCCTCTCTGGGATGTCTGTCTCCTGCTGGATCTCCTACAAAATAAAGAGATCGAGTTTTGGGTCATGACAAAACAATAACCAACACATTACAGAGGCCAGAATCTAAAACTTGTCTTAGAATGACCTTTTCTTGCTTATTTTTCCCACTACAAATCAACAGACTGTGTTTCTTGGTACAGTAAATTGTTTTTATGATAGGGAGAACCATAGCATATGTAGTCCGCTGCTGAATTAAGTTGTGTACCTCAAAGGTGGACTTCTCTCTGTTGTTGAAAAGCATCAGGATGGTCATCTGGAAGGTGGACACCTGTAGGATGTGCTTTCTGGTGTTGGAGCCTGTCACTTGGGCCCCTCCGACCCCAACCTCTGACCCATCCTCCTGTTGACATATTGGGACGACAGATCAGAATCTGAAAAAGTGACTCTGAATCCGCTTTCACAAAATATTTTGTGTTGTTTCCTCAAAATATATTAAAGAGCAGATTTCTTTTTGATTTAAAAAATAAAATAAAACAAACAAAAATGACATTTATTTTCACAAAAAAAGGGATCAGACCTGCTGAAAAACTACACAACAGTCTACCAGCAGCATTTACTTATTTGTTTTACATTCATTCATTTGGATTGGTGAG